TTGCTCATGAGCAAGGAAAAGTGGAAACCTCATATCACAATGATAATACTGGTTTTGTTTTCATATTGTATTTATTAGAAATGTGTAAGGCCACCCAACTCTACAATAACCCTGAGCAGGTTACAGTAAAAAAAAAAACACATACAAATACCATTAAAAACCCAAGTGCCAGAATAAAAATAACCATTAACTAGCACTTAGCAATTGCAATGGCACTTATATACTGTCCCACAGTACTTTGCAGGGCTCTGTGAGCAGTTTGCAAAGTCAGCATATTGCCCCCAAAATTTAGGTCCTCATTTTATTGACCCCGAGAAGATGGGAAGGTGAGTCCACATTGAGCTGATCTGAATTAAACTCCTCGCTGTCAGCAAATTACCCTGCAATACTCTATTCTAACCACTACACCATCAAGGCTCCAAATAATATTCAAATATATAGGATTATCACCTAGACTCTAACCCAAGTCTTGTGGAAAGAGCTCAGATGGGGGAATAATGCATCTGGGATGGTGCTCCAGATGGCAGGGATTTCAACAGAAAAGGCATGCCTCCTAGATCCCATCAGGTGGAGCTGCTTAATGCATGGGACATTGAGCGTGCTGATTGAATATGCCTAGTTGCGCATGCCAGACAAAAACCACAGAAAATACATGGTGCTTTAAATAATGAGGCCCTATGTAATGAAATTCCTTGGTTACAACTTTTCCTGAAATGGGAACCATTAGATTCCAATTTACTCTGTGTTTCTTTCTGGCCTGCTGTTTTGTTGGTACTTCAGATTCACTTTGGGAAGAACTAAACAGCATTAAAATTATTCACTGCTGGATCTAACTTATTGGACTTTCTTTATGTTCACCCAGAACACGCACTAGTAGATTCTCATTAAGTCACTCTGGCAGCTGTGAAACAGTCAAACTTACTTAGAAATCAGTCGGCCATCTAATTAGGTTTTAAGGCATTAAAGTACTCTGCATTTTTTTTGGCTCAGGTTGATATTCATTGTGAACAAGGACTTCTCTAACCACCAGCCTTTCCATTTGCAAATAATCCCCAACAGACTTTAAACCTTATCTATGATTTCTCCACATTGTTCTCATTATCAGTAATCTCAAGCACATTCAATATGATGTTGCCTATACAACTGTACCTTTAAAGTTGTAGACAGCTATGCACAAAGACTGCTGGCCACCTACTCATTTTTTTAAAAAACTAGCCAGTTGCTGGATGCATTGTCCCCAAAACTCCATTAGGTTGCTCTACCTGCAGAGAAAGAGGAACAATGACATTCTTAGTATTCTTCACACAGACGCACATAGATGCTGGCACGCTGCACACACACTTGTTCTTCTATATTTTTGTACATCCGCTGACTGTATTGCGAGGCATTTTTTTCCAATTGCCTGCTATTAAAGCTGTTGCAAGGAAAGACTCACTATTGAAACTATTAATGCAGAGAAGCTTCAAATAACTCCTGTTCACATGGAATCAGATCACCGTGGTAACATGGAATCAGATCACCATGGTAGAGCTGTCAATCATGGTAAATCTTGCGAAAGTGGCATTTTTGCATAATGTGTGAAGTGTGTTATCCCAGCAAATCCTGAGTGCTGCAAGGCAACAAGCCCCCATGAGACCCACATGCAAACAAAATTGCACTTGAGCGCTTTTCTCCTTGCTAGGCTAAATAAAGTGCTAGCAAGGAATTGAAAGCTTGGGGACATGGAATCCAAAGGGGAAACACATGCCAACAAACAAAGAATGATTTTCTGGGAAACAGGTCCCATATGTCTCTGAAACAAGGGACAGAAAATGCAAAGAGCTGGCTTGCAGAAAGCATTGAACAATGGATTGAGATTCAATCAGCCCAAAAGGCAGAAGAAAATTAGTATCTAGAAGCATCCCACATCCCTGCACTCTTTTAAGACACTAAAATCAAATGTTGTTATCTTCATGGAAGTGAGATGCAGCATATAATGTGGTCTCAATATACTGAAGCTCTGGTACAGGTATACTCTCACAAAATAAAATGTGAACAATAAATAGTTACAGCAACCATCATCAGTCCTGTTTCCATTCCTGTAATTGGCCTACTGCCACTTACCTCCTCTAGACCAATAAGATCGCATAGATTAGGCCTCCTCCGAATTCCATCAGCCAGCCAACGTCGGCTGGCAACTACCCAGAGGAGAGCTTTCTCGGTAGCTGCTCCAACCCTCTGGAATGAACTCCCCGTGGAGATTCGTA